GATCTGGCACTTTACTCATCCTAGCTGTAAGATTCCATGCATGCTTTTACAATCTTGTCAAACTAATCTCTTGTAAATCAATCATTTCAGAAAGCTTGAAGCAGACACAGCACCAGTATTATACAAGTTTAACAAAAACTACAGACCAGCTTCAGCTTACCCAAACCTTGCGTCAGCATGGCACCTGCATAGCATGGATCAATCTCCAAATAAAAGAACCTCACGTGTTTAAAAACTTCCTAAACATAATTCAAACAAATGTCCTGAAAAATTTGCAACAGAGGTGTGATCTGATCACTCCTCCTTTCCATCATCTTATAAGAAACCATAAACCTCTCCAAGAACACACAGCACAATGTGTTAATTTCTATTCCTACTTGTACTAAAAGGGGATTGATCTACCAAATACAGATGTTAAAAAGCGAGTAACTAACTGACTAATCATGCACTTGATATAATTTGTATCAAGTACACAACTAGGGGCCCCGCTGTGGCTCTGCAGTTTAAATGGAGCAAGCAGCCCTGCTCCTACTACATTTAAACTGCAGAGCTGCATTGGGGTTCGGTCCTGGTCCCAGAGCTTCTGCTTTTTACATTTAAAAGGCAGAGCTGCAGTGGGGGACCCAGCATGAGCCGGGTCTGCTGAGTCCCAGCTTGCACCAGGTCCTGGATCTCTACATCTCTGACTCCTCCGTGTCTGCCCCCAGTACCAGCTCCTCCTTCCTACCTTGCTCATATGGAGGCAGCGGGGGGAGGGGAGGAGAAAGCGAGTAGTTACTCAGTGACCCAATAATCCTAGGCTTACCAAGTCGCTCAGTAACTACTCGATTTCTCCTAGGCTCTCTTTAAACCTAGGCTTATCGGGTCATTGACTACTCAACTAGTCGCTTACATCCCTACTACAAAACTGCACAAGTTTTAATGCTAACATCCATTTTGCATTACATTTCTAGTAGACAGCGCTGTGCTTAAAATAAAGGTACCATGAGCATAAAGAAACACTTCCTGATTAAGTTAGTTTTCTGGGAGGATTAAACCCATGGGGGAAAAAATGAGTTTGAAGAAATTGTTACAATGAACTCCTATAGCACGGCCAAATCTTACTGCTATAGTAAATGCATATTCAGGCACATATTTACTTTGCAAGAATCCTAGAAAAGGAGACTGGACAGAATTATGCACTGGTCTCTTTCGTACATAGACAGTAAAACTCCTCCTCCAGAGATTCATTTGAGCAAGTTAATTGCAATGAAGTTAAAACAGGGATGAATCCCACTTGTCCGCCTTCCAGCTACAACTAAAATCATGGTTACGCTGGTTTCCCCTCCCCTGCTCTTTTAGGGAAAAAATGAATAACCACTAACAAATTATAACTAAGGAAATACATATCACTGTCCCAGTGATTTTCCGCAAGAGACAGGTGACATTCTTTAAAGCATGACAGGTGTGTCTGTGAGTAAGAGCTACAAACTACCTATAAAAACCCTCATGTTTGGAAAACCCTCACATGGCAACATCTTAGTAAATATCATATTAACCTTGAGCTATTTGCGCCATAAAGATTATGCAACTTGCTCGATTTTGTTTCCAACACACCCTGGTACGTTTAGAACATTTACTACAGGGGGGAGGGGTCATGAATTAAGAAAGTGCTAAAGGAAACCTGACAATTTTAATACCATTTTCTATTTGAGCTTCTGTGAAGAACCATCTACATACAGCTAGAGGAGAATTATGCATTTTTTTTCATAAAAATGGCTGCTTCAATATAAAAAGTTTTTTGTGAGCAGGAAGCGGTGATGGAGTGCTAATCTGCAGGGCCCTACAAATCCACAGATACCTGCTTTATATCTGCAGGTATCCACATACGTGGATGTGCCTATACACAGATCATTTTTGCAAATATGGACGCAGATATAAATTTTGTATCTAGAACCCGATACATTTGCAGATATCCACTTCATATCCACCAGTTTTCACATCCGTGGATGCCAATGCAGATATCTGTGGTTAATTTTTGCTCATTCAGATGTAGATACAAAGTTTTGTATCTGTGCAGGGCTCTAGTAATCTAATCTAACAGCGTGACAGTCTCAGATTCTTAAATGCATAAGATTTAAAATCATCCAAATGTAGACATTTCCCCACAATATAAAGTAACCGATGATGGAGGGAAAGTGAAATAGGGTCAATAGCTGAACTAGGATTCCAGGTATTTTAGAGAGTCCAAATTTAGGCCTCATTTTGTAATCACAATCTATGAATTACTATGAAACCCACCAAAAACAAAAGTAAGCAAGAAACTAACAGAGGCAGGTAAGTTAAATAATTAAAAGCGATACTGTGCATTGCTCAGCAAAGTACGTTTCAGTTACCCCAAGAGTATTTAGAAGCAAGAAAGACAATCTAGGAAAACTGAAGGTTAGTGGAGAACTAAAGACCTGGGTTAAAGTCAGGTTATGTTGTTCTCTAAAGAGAATGGAGAGCCAAATAAGAGGAGAATTGTCTTTTTTAAGCCCAAGGAAGAATGCCAGAGACTGAAAGCCAGGAAACCCTGACACCAGCACTTAATAACTTGGTGATTTTGGACAAGTCATTTAATCTGTGCCAATTTATCAATGAGAACAAGACTGACCAGCACAGTATTGTGAAGAGTAATTAGGTAACGTTTGCCAAGTGTTGAAGATGCAAGGTGTGAGAGGGTTGCTTATTACTACAGTACCACACAACATGTTATGCAATACATGTGCACAACACTGCAACTGTTCCATATATGGAAGGGAAAGGCTGCAGGGAGTTAGGATTCTCTCATTAGAGGACTCAAAGATGAGTCACTTTCAGTAAGAACAAAGGCCCCAAGGACTGATACTGGCAAAGAGAATGAGAAATTGAACACGAAACAATTAAAGTTCTGCTGAACAACTGAATAGGAGAAATCCAGTACACATTTATGGGAGCCATGTTTTTCCTGGCTGGCCTTCTCCCCAAGACATTAACAATCTAGCTTTTTTCTTATCCAATAACGTTTATATAGTAGAAAGAAAATTCAATCAACTGACTGACAGACTGTCTGCAGTACTCAAATAGACAATCTGATGTTTCTGGAGCTGTGTCTAGAAAACTAAGGGTTCTGGAAAATCCAAATATGCTTGATCAGATCCAGCATATTTTAATTTTTGCTTCATCATTAATCCAAAGAACCAATAATCTATGTCAGCCACAACAAGAATGGCATTCTGATCAATAAGAGATCAGAATGCTGCCTGAGAACAATTTAGGACTTTGAACAAAAACAAAACAGAGGCTACTTGTAAAGTGACTAACAACTATAAACCAGTCCAGAAGCACGGCTTTGTGTAAGCTTAAAAACATGTCTCCTCTCTCTCTCTCCAACTGAAGCTGGTCCAGTAAGAGATATTATCTCACCCCCCTTTTCTTTCCAACAACTAGAACACAATTACTACCAGCAATGGCAGATGCCTAGATTACTCAAATCTTATTATTAAAATCTCCAATGTTATCATCACCCTGACTGCAGGCTCAATAAACTCCACATAAAACACACAATTCCATTAGCACAATCTGGATATTGTTATGTGACATCTACATTATATCAAAACCATTTGCTGTCTGCATGAATTTTCCCACACACACAATAAACATTATACGAGCTGTATCTGTGGGCAGGACATCAAGAAGTGCTATATACTTTGTGTATTTATCAATGTGAAAGACTTATAAAGATGTAGCCAGCACTAATCCTTGTACAGTTAGCACCTACTTTTCTTTCTAGGTCCTTACTTGGCCCCATCACCAGAGACCTAGAGTGCCTAAAATTTCTTCAAAAAAATATAACACACAGTACAGCACACTAGTGAGGGTGGTTAACGGTTTCTGATTTAGCCTGAAGAATATTCTGATCTACAAACTCTGTTGACAGTGACAGCATTTAACACTTGAAGCACTAGCTTGTACCACAGAAAGGGGAAAAAATCATGACTTATAAGAACCCTGTATGTCAATACAAGATTATAGGACACAAATATTTTAACGATAATGTAGTTTGATACGAGTTCAATCTGATTTGTAGTATTTTTACAAGCCAAAGTAAATTAGTAGAAGAGGAGGGGAAAATATCTGGAACTGCAACAGAGAGACTGAAACGAAGCCCTGTTTGTTCTGCATGAAGGTCATAACCTTCCTATTTTCAAGCAGCTCAGGAGCTGTCTACCGCAGCTTTGGACAACCAAGGAAAGCTACAGGAAAGGCTTTCTGGTTATTGGAGACTCTCTGCTTTTTCCTTACAAAGGGCTATCCCCTCCCTCCTGTCCACCCTACCCCCTAAACATCAGGGCACGGATCTTCATCTCAGACACAGATCACACAGCTCTCCCGCAGGGAACACCACAGAACTCTATGCTCAACTCCATAGCCACTTCCATTGCAAGCAGGTGGACATCCCTGGGGAATGGGAGCCGGAACCCTCCAGGAATTGCACGGGTCCCTACGCCAGCCACAGGAAACCCCCCCAAAACAGTTTCAGGATTCAAGGGGCTACCACCTACAGCCACAGGAAACTAGACCCAGCCTCCAACCTCCTCCCCAACACACACAGGAGGGGGCCCCACGAGGAACACAGGAACCTGCAGGCCCCCCCTAAGCAGAAGACGGAGGGGGTCCCCCCTGGAGTCAGAAGGGGATGAGACTAGCTCCAGGAGCCCCCCAGGAATGGAGCGGGGCCCTCCAGACCAAGGGGGGGGGGACACAACGAGCTCAAGGAACACCTAGGGTGGAGGGGGGCCCCCCAAGGCAATAAGGGGGCACAACCACCCACGGGAGTGCCTAGGGAGTGAGGGGGGATCCCCAGCGAGCCACCTGCACCTCAGCGTATGGGGAGCCCAGCCCTGATCTCCCCCATGTGGGGGGATGAGGCGCCCGGCCCTTTGGCAGGGAACCCCCCCAGGGGCTCCAGCCCCACAGGCGCGGGGGAGGCGGCTCACCGGACTCTGGGTGTCCGGCCGCATCTCCACCAGCGCGCACACGCCTCGCGCCCTGCTCATGTCTCCGCCACAGCCCCGAGTCAACAGCGACTGAGCGACGCGCGAGCCCGTCCGCGCCTCATATACGGCCACGCCCCCTCTCCGCCCTCAGGCCACGCCCCGACTGGCGGG